TTTCCTCTGTATGGTTTCATATATTTAATAGTTTTCTCACTATGTTTACAATAGAGTCATTATAAAAATATTAAGCAATACACAGAAACTCAAGTGAGGAAGTAAAACCATCCTCAATTGTGTGAAAAAGCACCACTTTCATAATGTTCTGATATGCCCTTCTAGACAGACCTTGCCACCCCCCACATACTTTTACATATGCCTTACACTTATTAGTTATTTTCTAATACATTCTTAATTTTATAGCATTTTGGTATTGTTTTTACTTATATCCCTCTCACTGTCTTTTTCCCTTCTACCTACCACAGCATGTAGCTTATGTTAACAACCTGGTGTGTACTTTTCTCCATGTTCCTAGTAGCATTATTGCTAAACATATGCACACATAAAATGGATTTTTCCATTTTTGCCTAACATATGGGATATTTTATGCACTTTTCTTCATCTTGCTCTTTTCACAAACTAGGATCCAAGAAATCCCTCCAACTGGTGATATAAATCATTCTTTATTTTTCATATATTTTACTTTAGGAATCAATATCATAATTTATTTCTAAATATTTTGCCTGTAAAAGATATGCTGTAATTTTATCTTTTATTGCAATATCTATATGTATATTTTTCCTTAGTGAACAAAAATATTTCTATTCAAATATTTTGCTCATCTTCTAATACAGTTGCTGGTTTTCCTATTTTTAAGTTTTGAGATGTCTTTATATATTCAGAATATGAGTTCTTTATGAGATATGTGATAATTTCTTCCAGTTGTGACTTTGCATTCTGTTAACAAGGACTTTCAAAGACCAGCAGTTCTTCCTTTTTATAAAACACAATTTATCAATTGTTTTATTTATTATGTTTCTAAGAAATCTTAGCCTAATGCTCAATCACAAATATTTTCTCCTCAATTTTCTTCTAGAAGTGAGGTCTTTAAATTCACGTCCATGATCCATATTACGTTAAATCTGTAAGTGATTCAAACCATGAATTATTATTCCTCTTACGTATTATTGCATTTAATTTACTAAAGTGAAGACAGTTGGCACGTACTTTTCTTGATGGGAAGGATTTTTACCTCAAATTGTTGACACAGGGCTATTCAGGTAATATATTTCTTCTTGAATGAGCTCTGGTAGTTTTTGTCTTTTAATTTGTTCATTGTATCTAATATTTAAAGTGGACGTTTTTGTAAGCAGAATATAGTTGGGCCTTGCTTTGTATCCATTTTGACAATCACTGCCTATTAACTGAGTAGTTTATATTATTTAATATGATCATTATTATGACTGGTTCTAAATCTACCAGTTGCTACAGTTTTTCATTTATCCTGTTTGTTCCTGCTCCACTTACTTCCACTGTCATGCATTCTTTTAGATTAATTTAGTGTATTTTATGATTTTTTTCTCTTTTGTTGAATTAGTGCCTGTAACTCTTTTTTTGTTTGTTTTAGTCTTTGCTTGTGTTTATATTATGTATTTTAAGTTATCATAATCTACATTCAAATGCTATCATACCTTTTCATGCATAGTATACAAAACTAACAAAAGCATCCTTTCATTTTCGCTTTACCAACCAATGTCTTATGGTCATACATACGTTATACAAAGTCCAAAATACAGTATTTTTTTAAACAGTTAATTATTTGGAGATTTTTACATAATAAAAATGTATTTTATAGTTACATACATAATTACCATTTTGGTACTCTTTAAACCATTGTGTATGATCTAGATTTAAACTTTGTGTCATTTTATTTCTCCTCGAAAAATCTGCTGTAGCATTTCTTATATTTCAGGTTTATAGGTAAATAATTCTTTTAGCCATTGAATATATGAAAATGTTATTTCACCTTTATTTTGTAGACACATAACCCTACATTACTTGTCTGGGTTTTTATATTCCTTGCAGTATGTTAAAGATACTGTTCCACTAGCTTTGGGCTTATCCGATAATCCTTTGACAAGCCTACTGTTACTTTTATTTCTGTTCCTGTGTATGAACTGTTTGTTACTCCTCTAACTACTTTTTGATGAGTTTCTTTATCACTGGTTTTAAGAAAATTAACTATGATGTGCCTTCATATAATTTCTGTCATGTCACTGTGTTTGGGGTTTGTTTTAGCTTCTTAGATCTGTGGGTTTAGTTTTCATCAAATTTGCACCATTTCAACCTTTATTTTTCTAATGTGATTTTTGACTTTCTTCCCCCATTCTACTCCCTCTTTCTGGAACTCTGATTACACTTGTAATAAGCTGTTTGTTTGAGTTTGTCTCGTAACTCAGTGATGAACAATTTATTTTTTTCACTCCCTTTTCTGTTTTATTTGGGATAGTTTCCATGACTGTATCTTCAAGTTCACTGATCTTTTTTTCTGCAGTGTCTATTCTGCCATTAGTCCTATCCAGTGTGTTGTACATAAGACATTGTAGTTTTCCTCTCTAGAATTGAATTTGTATCTTTGATAGATCTGTGTTTTACTAAGATGTTCTCTCCTTTCCTCAGGCTTCTTACACATATAGAATAAGTTATAAGTGTTTTAGTGTTATTGTTACTAATTCTACAATCTATGTTTTGGGGATTAATTTTGATTGATTTTTATCATTTTGGGTCATATTATCTCGCTTCTTCTCATACCTGGTAATTGTTGAATGGACGCCTTCTTATATCTATATACCTTTGTATTCCTACAAATAGTGCTCAACTTTGTTATCAGACACAGTTAAGTTACGTGAAAATAATATTTTCCTGTCTTGCTTTGAAGTTTCAAGTTTTAAGGCAGGACCATACAGTTTTAGTGCAGGTCTAATTCTTCCCTCCTACTGGGGCAAATCCCTCCTGAGTGGTCTGCTCAGTGACCTGTGAACTATGAGGTTTCCCCTCTGTCTGTGGGAGTGGGAACTACATGTGGCTTCGTGTGATCTTTGGGGTTGTTTTCCATTGTTTGTTTTAGATGGCTGTTCTCTCGGTCTCAGGTAGTTTCCATAAACACTGATCAATATTCAGCTGAAGGAGGGCCATCTACACATCTCTAGATTGCTTTCTCTGCAGTTTCCTCTTCTCAGGATTCTGCCCTTTTTTATTCTACTCTCTTGTCCTATCCAGACCCCTCAACTCTCATTCCTCAACTCAGTACGGGCACCATCCTTTGCCTGGGTTTCACCCCACTGTGATACAGTCTGGGAATTCTCTCCAGAGAGTATACTTCTGTAGTTATAGAGCTCACTTTATTATCTTTTGGGAAATACTGTCTTTAATTGCATAATCTCCAATACCGTTAAAAGTGTTCTCTTACATATTGTGTCAGATTTTTAGTTGTTTGAACTAGGAATGTAAATTTGGGTGCTCTTACTTTATCTTGGTTATAAGCAGAAGTTTTTAATAGGGATTTTTCCAGTTGAAAGGTAGTAAATGCCAAGAATCACTGTTGACATAGATTGTACTTTCACTGTTAAACAGGTATGTAGGTTATGGTAACTCTAAAAAGCATATTTAACTTAATACAATTCCTCTATAGTTTACGTACAGTTTTCTTAGAGCCCAGTTATTCAAAATTAGCAAGAAACAATCAGTGTTTTAGTGAAATAAATATGTAAGTATATATTTTCGTTAATGGAATAGGTTTGATTAGGCATTTTAGAATTATATAAATGTAAAGGTTAAAGAATATTTTCCCCAAGTATTTCATGGAGAAGGAGACTAATTAACAGAGATTTAAAAAAAAAAGTCATGTTTTTTCATTAAGGTAAGCCATTAAAGGAAAAACACATATTTAGAAAAAGCTTCCAAATTATCTTTTCCCACTCTTGGAATTGTCTGTTGAATTTTAATGTGTCTTCTACTTAAGGATTTATTTAATAATGAAATTAACAAAGGAAAACTTCAAATTCACCTACAGGTATGTATTTTTATTTATTATCAGTGTTTTATTTTTCTTTTTATAGTCTAGACTTCTGTTCCATAAAATTTGCAGAAAAGTATGCAATTGCTTTTAAACATGGAACTATATTGTTCTTTAGCAAGTCATATATTTATATAAAGCACAAATAATTTAGAATTCTATTTGGCATTTCAATATTTTTATCCACTTGGTAATGTAATTATAGTAATTCTGTGGTTAATGCTCTTTGTTTTCCTTCAGCAAACAATCTATTTATCTTTATTAACTTCTCTATATGGAATAC